AAAAATATGCTATCAACAATGAAAGGCCTAATAATGGAAAAAAAACATTAATGCTAATGTGTAAACATAATTTGTGTAGTGATTAAGTAATAAACATCTCCTCAGAGTCGCGTCTATTATAACTGGCGTTTCGATGAGGATCAGCGTTTATAACTAGTTTATCCCGTCAGAAAAACGTTGTCGCCACTTATGCTTTACCCCGCGACTTATGCCTATTCCATACTGCAGTAAAAAAGGACTCACTACAAATAGCCAATACCCAACCAACCCCAAATTTGTAAAGCACCAATATTTTTTTGATGATATGGTATAAAAAGTTTAGGTTAACTGAACAAACAAAAATAAAAATAACTAAATAAAAAACTAACCATACCATCAAAAGAAAACATGAAAACAAAATAAATTAAAATTCTACTAGAAACATAAAAAAACCCATAAATTTATTTTAAGAAATAAAACTAAATAGGTATTATTAGCATAAACAAGCCTAAGATAATCAAACAGAAACCATTATACCTCATTAAAAATTTTTTTTTTAATCAACAAAACAACAATAGCCTTAAATAAACTCTAACGCTATCATAGATACCTCATTCGAAATATGACAACCAATCAAAAGTCTAGGAAAATGAGCAACCCGCGAAACCCAAAATCATAACAATAATTGAATAATATATGATAGCGAAAAAGAACGTTGCACAAAACCTTAAAAATGTAAGCGGCATATATGTAAACATTTAATGAAGGATATAAAAATATTCTCTGAATAATAATAAAGACGAAAAATGTGCATGTGAAAATTAAAACATAGCTAAGTAATGAATTCAACAACCAGTAATAATATGAAAATCAGGAGATAAACAATAATAAAAAATATTGCAATAAGACGAACTAAATATTGTAATAAAACCAGATAGTTTTAAGCCAAATGAGTAGTTAAAAAATGAACTGTGGGTAATATAACAATGGTATAAGTCGTGATGTATAAACGATACGATGTACAAAGAATATTTTTGTGTCAATGCGATGTACAAAGAATATTATCTAGAGTTTAGAACATATATAGAACATATATTGTATGGTGTGGTTATTTTAGTTATGAATACCATTAATGAATACCATTATGAATACCATTAATTAGTTATGAATACCATTAATGAAGTTGGTTATTTTAGTTATGAATACCATTAATGAACCAGCGGATTTTTATTGACTTGTTTACTCATAGATCATTTTTTTATCATTTGCGAAAAGATGACTGAGAGTGTGAGTTTTGGTTTCTCTCTTCCTGATTTGCTAACTTTTACTCCTCCTACTAAACAGTATTTACATTAATTTATGTTTTTTTACCTAAATGACATCATCTTCAATCTGTTTTTATTTTCACATCTCCCAGGTCTACGTAACTGAACAACTCCGTTGGTCACTTTTTGCGATCATTGTGTCGCATGAGCAAAAAAATTTTTTCTTTGTGGCTGGTGAGCCCCAACTTTTTTCCAATGTACACCACAACGACAAAACGGACATTAGGCTATACCGCTGGATGTGGTTACGGCGATCAATAACCTAATGACTACGCTGACACTCACGCACGCGTTTATTCGGAAGCTCCACAATGCACATCGGACCAGCGCTCGCTGACTATGTGCTCGGATCTGAAATCTCACTTCATAGCACATCATTCCACACCAGCACACGGGCAGTAGCTCTTTTTGCTAATAGTGATGGCTTGTTGGCTATGGTGACTAATGTGTGCATTCGATCAATTGAAATCCATTCTGTAGGTCTTACGTCTGGCTCTGATGTGCTAGCCCATAAGCGCAAGAAGTGAGTGTGTTTAGCTTTCTATTCACCCGATTTGAAAGTGAACGGAAACATAACGAGACCATACTAGACGACAAACGGTACGTACTAATGCACTACACCATCACACCTGTAGACATCAACAAACTTCAAAATCAGTATATCAAATATTTGTTCTTTGTTACATATGATCTACACACAGATCGATTAGAGTGTTAGTTGGTTCTCTCCCTGCCTCCCCCACCCGATCATTTAACTTCGTTCTTTACCTTCACAAAAGTCTTATCACTCATTTTATATTTTCTTATGATTTTTATTTTTTATTCAATGACACAATCTTCTAACGGTTTTTATTATCACATCTCTCAGGTCTACGAAACTGGACGGCTCCGTTGGTCACCTTTTGCGATCATTGTGTCGCATAAACAAAAAAATTGTGTCATTAACTTAGCTTACTCTTAAAAATTTAAGCATTAAACAACTTGTAAAGTATAGATTTTAAACAACTAATAATGAAAAAACTTTTGAAAGAATGCAATTTTATAAAAAAATATTATTTCACGTAGCTGCCCATTAGTTAGCAAATACCAAATCTTTGCAAAGGAGGTCAAAACTAAAGCAACTTTAGAAATGTCAATATCTTCCGCCAGATTAGAACTAGCTTCACTAGTACAGTAAACAAATACATACAAAGGGGTTTTTTTTCTTTTCAATTTTTCAGTTTTTCCATGGTAAATAGCTGCCTGACGACTATCATCACTCCAACAGTAAAAAATCTTTTAACTAACTTTACCTTCTAAAACTTACCTTCTTAAACTTCTAAAATATCTTCAACTTTCTAAAATATCTAGAATATCCAGGTAAAAAGATCAAGCTCAGTAAACTCAACATCTAGATTTTTTCTTGTTAGATTTTTCACCTTATTCTCTAATTTTTTTTTTTTTCTAAAGTTTATTTTCTACCTAAATTATGTTTTGCTTTTTTTATCATTTATTTTTGAAAAAAAAAAAGTGCTGACTAAAATTTTGCTGCCATTTTTTTCTTGTATATGAAATTTATAACTTGTTCCTGTTCAGTTTCTTTGTAGATGTTAATAAAAGCAGAAACTTTTTTTTTTGTGTTCGTATTTAAGATGATAAATAGGACAAAGTAGCATTGGGGAAAAAATTTTAAGCAGCACTGAACATGGTCAAAACCTCCTCTACATCATTATTATTAACTCTAGCAAATTTTGTTTCAATCAAAAGATCTTTTGTTATTTCCATTGCGATATAACGTTTATATTGTCTGTGAAGAACATAAATATAACAAGTTAGACATGTAGACATGTGTCTTTAGAACATTGCTTCATTTAGTGGTATATTTCTTAATGAAAGAAGAAATGATTTGAGATTACTCTTTCCATTTATAAACTTTCTCTTTTTCATTTGTAAAATAATTTTACCTGGAAGGCAATTATTTTCAAAAACAGTTTCTAATGTTAAATAACACATAGTAAAAATAGTTTTAAAAGGATGTAGACAACAATTAAGCCCATTTAATGAATTATTTCATGATTCATTAAACAATTCAACAGTTGTTTGATTTACTTTTACACTATTAGTCATTGTATTAACAATGGCTTATCATAGCTTTACAAGTTTCTTGAAAATTTGCACTGTTAAACTCCATGAAACACGAACAAAATGGTCCACCGTATTAATTATACGTTGATGTAAGTCAACACTAGTACCACCTGCTTAACTGTCAACAGTCATAACAAAATACTCACATTGTGTAGTAAAATGTGTTACATAATTGATATGGATATCCTCTTGTGTGGTGGAATCAAAATCAATTGTAACATATTTACTGGATAATATTTTTTCTTATATTTAACAGTTAGTTGTTCTTAATTCCCTTACCATTATTTTAACTAAACTCTATGTTTGTAATCACAGAAAACAAGAGGGACAAAAAAACATGATAACTTGTTGTGCGTTGAGTAAACAAGTTTTAGTTAGTTTAATTAGTTTTAGTTCTGGTTTTGAATTCATCAGAACTAACTAAGCTTTGGTACTAGACAAAGGGTTAACCCTTTGTCTATTACCAAAGTAACCCTTTGTCTAGTACCAAAAGCTTAGTTAGTAACCCTTTGTCTAGTACCAAAGTAACCCTTTGTCTAGTACCAAAAAGCAACAAATAAGCACCAAGTTAATATGAGCATACATAAAACGTTTGTAAGTAGCAAAGTTCAAGTTCGTCTTGTATTTTTTGAATTGAATTTTATGGTTATAATAGAAAGCCGTTATAACGTAACGCCGTAATTAGCGGCTCTCATTTAATTACAACACTTTTATTGCGTTGTTAAAATGTTTTCATTACACATGAAAGAATCTGAGTCAAATTTTGTTGTTGAAATATATATGATTATCTTTTTATAAAGAAAAATATATTAGTTACAAACCCGTTACACTGTTATTACACAGTTTTTTCATTGAAGCTACCGTGTAAGGGTTCCCAAAATTCCGGTAGCTTTAATTACATTTTCAATTAAAGTAAAATATAGTAAAAAACCTAATATTTTAACAGTTCTAAATATCTTTAATTTTAATTTAATGTAATTTAAATTCCAAAAATTTGTATTTCTATTGCTCAAAACTTTAAGTTAAAAAAATTGAATAAATAAATAAATTTTTTTTTTTTTTTTTTTTTTTTTACGTAAAACAAAGTGGTATTGTTTCTATAAAAAGAGGCCTAAAATTTAATCTTATAATGATAAGTTTTGTTAATAAAAAATTATTATATTCTACAAACTGGTTTTAGTTATCATGTTGTTATTCCGTTAATCAATGTTATTTTTTGAGCTAATTTAAAGCGCTTATATGATAATATGGTCTGGGTAATATGAGAACTTTCGTTACTTTTTTAAACCTCTGTGATTTGATGAAAAAATTTGGGTGCCCAAAAAACAAATGGATCATGAGTAGTGATCCTTAAAAATTGTTTATTCGCAAAAATTTTAAATGCAGCAAAATTATTTTTGAAAATTTTCCATTTTTTGATTAAGGCGCTCTAATTTATCTTGTTATTATGATTACATATTGCTGAAGTATTTTTTATATTTATATGTAATTTTAATATTGCATAGTCAAATAACTTTAATTATATAAAGTTATTTAATAGAAGTTTTTAACTAAATAAAAATTAAAACAAAATTAAAAGAAACAAGAAATAAAATTAAAGTTACAATCACAACTGTTTAAAAGTATTTAAATCGGATCAATGATATAAACTGCGTTAGCCAAACCTCCGCCTTTTCCCCCTGCTATGCAATTAAGTGAAGCTCCATACATTTTGTATGAATCTCCATTTCCTGCTGCACACCATCCACCGTCTTGAACTGCAAATACTTCATAATTTCGTTCAATAGCAGCAAAATGACATTTGTTGATAGCATCTACGCGCATTTTATACGGACCATCCAGAATAGAAGCTACACCCTCTAAAACATTTAAAGATCTAACTACCTTATCTGCCCAACAACCTGCATATTTAAATGACATTTTCTTAGTAATTATGTATACTTGGTTTGCCATTAAACCACCTATTCCGTTTCCGTTGCATACATTTGATAATCCATATTTTTTGTATGAGTCATCATTACATGCAGAGCAATAACCACCATCTTGAACTGCAAATATTGAATACCCTTTTAGATTAGCAATCTTAAAACATTTTTCAATAGCATTTTGACGGTTTTGGTATATACCATTAAGCATAATAGATGAACCCTCCAATGTTGTCATGGCTCTATTTAAAGTGTCTTTCCAACATCCCAAGTTTTCCATAGGTAAAGATACCTTATAAATAAAAAATATGTTTAATAAACATTGCTCAATAAATAAAAAAACAGATGTAAAAAACAATATATTACTAACTGACTAACTATTAAAAAAAAACTGAAATAAATATTGGTTGCTGTTTACTTGGATAACAAAGAAATAAGGGTCATGTGCAAGATACTTTGAGTAATAAATATATAGGTAACATGTTTTTATTTTGTAACAAGTTAGTTTACATTGTACTTATTATTATTTTTTTTAATATTATTAATTTTATTATTAGTATTTTTATATTATTATTGCTTTGATTTACTTCATAACTATGAAGTAAAAATTAATGATTATGAAGTAAAAATAAATAAATTAAATTACGAAGTAAAAATTTTAATTTTTACTTCATAATTTACTTCATAATTTTAATAAACTTAAGCTTATTAAAATTTATTTAAAAACTTTTATAACACATTTAAAAAAAAAAAAAATTAAAAACCACTAGTTTATTTTTAGAGAAATTAAAATTTTTATTTTACATTAATTGATGTCATAATAATGATATTGAAGTTTCACTTGGAATTAATTGTGCGTAAACTTTCAAGTCGATACTTTTGATACAACCTGGATTTGCTCACTTCAAGTCTTCAAGAAAAGTCCTATGTAATGAATACTGAAATACCTTTCTATTTACCATTATACCTATTTATAGAGTTAACAGCTTTTAATAAAGCGGTTACCTTATTTACATTATTTTATATGTAAGACATATATAAGTCACATCTTCTAACCTACGAGACTTATATATAAGTCATCTCTTTTAATTTATGAGTGGCGCATTTTTTACGCGACATGTGGAAAAAGCTGTCATTTCTTAAACATTTGTCGGATCGTTTTAAAATTTTTTGAAAAATATTAAAATTTTTGGTTTGTTTGTTTCTGTTTCTTTAAAAAAAAAAATAAAAAGTTTAGAAACCGGTTTAATCTCCACGAGGGGCTTGTGTAAAGCAGTTGAAATATGATTTCAATCTATTTTGACATGTTCTTTTTGTGAATAATGAATAAAACTGATTAAGATATTAATGGAACAATATTAGTCAATAAAATAATGGAAGGTATTTGCTACATAAAGTTATGTGTGAAGTTTTTATAACTAATCAATTATTAATATCGAAATAAAATAGCATCAAAATATTTGAAAATATCAACCCTATTACATACCAAACTCTATTTGCCCCATACCAAAAGATGCCTTTAATATCGTGTTGCAAAAAACAACGCGCATTCTATAAAAACTGACGTGAATTTGAATTTAAATTTGTTTATTCAGAAATCAGAAGATTATATTAAATAATTAATAAAATAAAAAATTTATTAATTTATAATAAAGTAGTGCAACACCAGGCACAACTATTCTGACCGCTTAAAGGCATGCGCTGTGTCTATTATTTGTTCTTTTTCTTTCAATGTGATCATTAAAGGCATTTACCGAGACTCCATAAGCTGCATTTGACGGAAGTGCGTTCTATGCATTTACCACGCAGTTAGTAAATAAATGCTTCATCTTTTCGCAATATTTGACTACTTGCTTAGTTGAACGTTGATTGTGCCCTCGTAGGCAGTAATTCAACATTGATGACGTATACACCTATGGTACGACGAACTCTATTTTTACAATACCGTGAACTATTTTAAATTGCTGAATCAAATCACCTCGATTTCTTCTGTCTTCAAAAGTTATAAGTCCAAGTTATGCTTGATTTTTGCATTTTTTTTTTACTCTTTGCTGAAAACACTCTAGCGTACATAAATATTGTTGTAGATATGGAGAGGCTTGAATAGCAAACTTAAGATGTAGTCTAACATATATGGTGTACAAATTCTTTCACAAGAAAAGACCTCTGCTTCTAAAAGCTTTTTTGAAAGAGCCTAACTCGCAATTGGCTCTTGCTGCTGCGCTTCTAGTTGATATTTCATTTTAAAATCATGAGAAAACAAATATTTTTCTGTTTATTTACTGATCAAGCATTGTGTAGTTTTGAGTCGATTTATTGATTGATTTGGTATCAAACATGTATCACTTTGCGTTTTTCAACGTTTAACTTCATGAGCCATTTTTTAGACCAACGAACTAACGTCTGTTCACAAAAAATCCGGACTGATTTCAAAAGTACACAAATTGTTCTAAATTTCGAATTTTCGATTCGAAATTTTTAAATTTAATCGGTCAACAACAACAGTTTCATTTTGTGGCAAAATTGAGTTTAAATAATTAATTTAAATAAACATGGAGCATCTAAAAGAGAACAATGTTAGAAATGTGATTGGAAATTTTTATAAACAAAACATAAACAGTGGAAAGAAATTTACAGTGGATCATTTTAAGAAAATGGGAATCGCTAATAGATTTAGCGATTCCCATTTTCTTAAAATGATCTACTGTAAATTTCTTTGTGGCAAAATTGAGTTTAAATAATTAATTTAAATAAACATGGAGCATCTAAAAGAGAACAATGTTAGAAATGTGATTGGAAATTTTTATAAACAAAACATAAACAGTGGAAAGAAATTTACAGTGGATCATTTTAAGAAAATGGGAATCGCTAATAGATTTAGCGATTCCCATTTTCTTAAAATGATCTACTGTAAATTTCTTTCCACTGTTTATGTTTTGTTTATAAAAATTTCCAATCACATTTCTAACATTGTTCTCTTTTAGATGCTCCATGTTTATTTAAATTAATTATTTAAACTCAATTTTGTCATAAATTGTAGATCAATTTATGACATAATTAAAAGGTCTGAAAATAATTTGCCAATGAAAAGAAAAATCGGTTGCGGCAGAAAATCTTTTAAAATCACACCAGTAAAGATAGAGTCCATGATTGCAAGAGCAGAAGAGAGAATCGGGATTTCGCAAAGAAAATTTACACTAAAATAAAAGATAAGCGTTTCAAATGTAAATAGATTATTAAGTATGCATGGACTGAAGTATACCAAAAGAAAAATTGCACCAAAAACAACAGAAAAGCAAGAAATTAAACAAAAGAAAAACTTAATTAAAACTTTCAAAAACTTTTTTCAAGCCATCAAATGAGTTTGAAATTATCATGGACGATGAATCTTATTTCTGTGTAAATGGTGCAAATTGTTCACAAAACTCTGGCTACTATACAAAGGATAGTTCTCAAACTGATCCTAACATTAAATTCAACTTCAAAAAAAAGTTTGACGAGAAAGTTCTCGTTTGGATTGCAATCAGTCGCTTCGGTCATTCATCGCCTTATTTTGCTGTAAAAAACTGTGCACTAGATGCAAAAACTTATTCTAAAGAATGTATTACAAAAAGACTTCATCCATTTATAAATTCCAAGCATCAAAACATGAAAATTTTATTTTGGCCTGACGGAGCAAGATGTCATTATGCAAAACACACATTAAAAACTTACAACACTTTAGGTATTAACTTTGTCGACGCTAAAGATAACCCCCCAAATGTACCGCAGTTAAGGCCAATTGAAAAATTTTGGGCACATTTAAAAGCAAAAGTTTATGGAAATGGATTTACTGCGGAAAATCTTGACCACCTTAAGAATAGAATTCGATTTTTCAACCTAATGGATTCAGTCAAAACTAAAGTTCGAAAAGCCGCTGTTTTAGGACCACTTTCGGGTATAAAATAGTTAACGATGTCCAGTCTCTCATTTTAGTTAAAATTTTTGTCAAAAATCGATTAATTTTGTATTCAATTAATAACAATTTTTCATTCCGGATTTTTTGTGAACAGACGTTATTTTGTCTATTCATTTCTTTAACGTTATAGTGTCTGCCACACTCTTTATTACGCCTAAAATTTTGCGGTCGTCAGCATATATCTCAATTTGATGCACTATATTGTCCGGCAGATCGTTTATATAAAGCATAAATAGCAGAGGTCCTAACTCTATTGAATACCACTTGTGACTGTGTTCAAATCTGATTTATAATACTAAATATTTACCCTCTGTTTTCAGTTTGCTAGCCTTTAGCAATCCATTTAAGTAGAGTTCTAAATAAGCCGTATGCTTCAGGCTTATGTAGGAGCCGTTAACAAAATATACTGATAGCAGGGTATGATTTTAACAATATATACTAATAGCAGGAGCAAGAAAAAGGTTGAGAACTAGTAAAGGGTAAGAACTAGACCAAAAATTAGCACATTTAAGCTAAACAAAAAATATTTTTTTGAGAATCCATAATAGCCTCCTTATTTTTTTTTTTATGTAAGATATTAATAATATAAACTGATAGCTGGGTAAGATGTTAAAAAAATATACTGATAGCAGGGTATGATATTAACAATATTCATTAACTGATAGCAGGAGCAAAAAAAAGACTTAAAATAGAAATATAAAAAAAGAAGAACAACAAAAAAAAAATCAGAAAAACAAAGAAAAAAAAATAAAGACAAGTATAGTAAAAAAAAGTATTTATTAAAATAAACCTTTCTTTAAAAAGCAGAACATTGAAATACTTTTCATATATGATTCAGTAATCATAAGTTGATTTCACATCAACTTAGAAATAACTTTTTAGTATATCCATTCATTAGTGTAGTATACACATTCATTAGTAATCTCTGTCTAAATTTTGCCTTGAATTTTTTTAACGCTGGAAACGTTTTAAGTTCATTTGTAAGTACTTTTTTCCATATATTCGGTTCTCTTTCCATATATTCGGTTCTCTTTCCATATATTCGGTTCTCTTTCCATATATTCGGTTCTCTTTCCATATATTCGGTTCTCTTTCCATATATTCGGTTCTCTTATTGAGATTGAAAATTGAGTTGGAGCAAAATAACTGTATATAGTTATTTTTTAACTGTATATTTTTATACTGTATATAGGCAATATAGAATTAAAAAATTCATTACAAATAAACTGTTTGAAGCCTAAAACACACTTGATTTAAACTTCGTCCAGTGCATGATAAATTGCAAAAAAATTAAATTCACGTAACCTATTGAAGACCTGCAAGCTGATGTTGTG